GATCGACGAACATTCGACCGTATACGGCGACAACACCAACGTTCAGTGTGGCAATTCGCCGTCGTGAAGTGTCATACATTCATTTGTATTGGTATTTTGTAGCGGAGTCTTGTTCCATCCACGCACATTGTTTTCGCTGTCAAACCGTGAAGTGTTTTTATCCAGCGTTTTTTCAATCCAATTAAATTCTTTTCGTTCAATTTCGAGTGAAAGATTTTTGTGATTACTTTTAACAATTTTTCTTTCTGTTTTAGTGAAATTGTAGCTAAAGATGAGTGAGGATATGGTTTTAAGTGAATCTGACGACGGTATTACGGTGACGACTCCAACCGCTTCGCAAGAAAACACATTGTTGTCCAGCAAACAGAGTGGAGAAGGCAATGAGGTGCATCACAACACCAAATTGACCGATGTACTAATAAGTTTGACCACAAATTTGATCGTCTAAAATTATTGAGTTTTATATTATTTTGTTCGTTAAGAACTGTTTTACGAATAGTATATCGACTAGTTCAAATCAGTTTATTTTGCTGATTTTGTCTTTACCAAATTTTATCTCGTTGTATGTAGCTGACATAACCTATCATCATGACTTGTGCAAATTGCATTGAACTAAATAAACAACTTGTTGACATCAAAACAAAGCTCGTTCCGATCATGAAAATGTTGGATGGACTAAATTTGGATTCAACCACTATGAAACCCGCAACAATTCCAACTGACCATCAACAGAATGCTGTAGTGGATATGGATATGGATACGGTAACGGATATGAGTGAATCGAACTTGACTGGCAGTTCATTGTCAACTGCAACACAAAATGGTATTTTGAGCCAACAACGACAACAAACTCAACACATTGATGTTTCTTCGCCGCTCACAAATTGCATTGGTGTGAATACGGGTCCACGTGGGGGATCGAAACGACGAAGAATTGACGAAGTGATCACCGAAAATAAAAATCCAGTTGATTTGTGCAGTTTTGTTGTCCTTCCGAAATCGGCTGATAGTGTCTCCGAGAAAGCCGGTGTGGAAAAACAAACTATGCGGTCACTGCACATCAGTCCATTCAACCCGACGACTGATATTTCAGTTATTGCTGGTCACTTGAAGGCGATCGAAAGCACCCGTCCCTTCACTGACTGTCAGTCTAAGACCAAACAAAAAAAAGGTGCCAAACCCGACTTTCGTCTCGTTCAAACTGGATGTGCCAAC